TCTGGAGTAACCTGTGTCGCATTCCTTTGGGTATATCCCCAGGAGTGGGATTGCTGGATCATATGACAGATCTATGTTTAGATTTTTAAGAAGCCTACAAATTTTTTCCAGAGTGTTGTGCCACCTCTCTTTTCCATGATTTTCTGCCTTGCCTCAGGCCCATTGTGAGGGGGCCAAGTGACCATGGTCTCAAACCTCTGAAACCATGAGCCAAAATAAATCTTTCCTCCTTAAGTCATTTTTCTCAGGTACTTTGTCACAGTGACAAAGAACTAACATAGCATCACTAAGGACCACACTCAGGCTCTGTTAAGTACCTCCTATGATGGGGATTTGGCTGCCCATTCAGGAGAACATTCTTGTTTTGTAGAGATAATTAGAAAACATACCCTTAGACTGCAGGGTGAAGGTCATAAAAGAACAAAAGAATGTGACTTAGTTTCAGAGATGGATAGCATATAGAATTACTATACCAAATTTTTAGAATTGTTATTTTGAACAGATACCATGAACAGATAACCATATAGAAAGTATGGAAATGTTTTCATAGTATTCTTTGTTAGGGTAAGTGGTAGTAGGTAATAATATTGACTGAGTCCATCATTCATTATTTCATAAATAAAACTAGAAGTGATTACTTCTTTTCCTTGCCTCCTGTTAGCTTGCCATACAAAGCTTTACCTATGGTACATATATCCACCTTGGTTCCCTTTATAGATAGTCTGTGCTCTCAAGAATTGACAATCATAATGTAAACATGGTTGGTAGCAGGTTTGGGAAGGCAAGGATTGGGAAGTCAATGGGGTTCATTAATTGATGAGTTCAGTAGTTTATAAAAATTATGTCTCCCCAATTGAATTGGATATTCCTTAAGAGCAGGAATTATTTCTTAGACTTCAATTAGTTCATACACTAAGCACACACAGAGCTTTTCAGAAAGCACTCAATAGTTATTTGTAGAAAGCTGTGTTACAGATAACACATTAAGGCATTAATATATTTAGCGATGAGCTTCAAACTCTGGTTTATGTTCATGGAACATCATAACTTGAAGGAAGTCTGCATTTACCTAGCCCATAAATTACAGCTGTTTACCATATTTAAAAGTTTCATATTTTTAAGGTATGTTAAAAGAATTTATTTCTTTTAACAAGTGGAAAAAATGTTCTTTAAAGACATTTAATTTTTAGTGAAAAATAATTTTACCAAAGGCATTGTGCGCATGTTTGAATAATAATTTGTTCATCTTCTTTGAGGAACGGGGTTTTGACATAAACTATTGAAGGCCAAAATGATGATTGCATGTGGTTAGAATTCAAAATGAGATTTGTGCTGATGGTGTTTAGAGTCAAGAATGACCACGAGTGGGGAGGGAAGCACGCTGGGTTGGCAGTGCCTCTGAAGGTGAATTTCCTTGCTGTGCAACAGCTTGAGGTTAGTGGTCAGGACACCCATTTAGACTGACAGATCCCTGGACTTCCATGGCTTCAGTGACAGGGACAGGGATGTGATTGACTTGAATATTCTTCAAACAGCCAAAAAATGATCTCCACACAGGGACTGCCAGTGTCTTTAAGTTGGCTGAAAAAGAAAAGGAAGAGGCACTCAGTGGGTAGTTCACATTGTCAAATAAATGCACTCTGAGTTTTAAGAGAGAGTCTTATAAGAAAGAACCAAATGTACCCCTCCTCTGAGCCCCTGGTCATTTCTTCCCCTTTGAGCAGGCGTCTGACACTCGCCAGCTGTAATAAATCAGCAATAAAAGCTGCACTTAAGTCTGCAGAGGAGATTCTGCAGCCCAAATCAATAGATAATAACTCTGAACTCTGCTGCTTCCTATGGGTCATGAAAAGCCTATAAAATTGTCAACCAGACTATTTGGAGGGGCATAAAACAAGGAAGAATGAAAAGGCTCTTTCTAGGCAAAATTCCAGTCTTGAACTTGACCTCATCTCAACCCACCTAATTCTCCCACTTGGCTCCACAAAGCCTCATAACTCAGAAGTCAGACTAAATGCCTAGGAGGAGAGACCTGACTTTCAACCCTTTTCCCCAATTCTTTGTTGATATGGGTTTCTGGGTTTATGCAACTCTTCAGAGAGGCTCACAAATTACAGGCTTAGGACAAGGGGGAGCAGCACTGGAGTGGCCTGGACTGCCCTGACATGTGCCCACCACTAGCAGTTGGGTTTCCCCACATGCTGGAGCAAAGACCTCACCATCTCCACTGCCCAGCCAGCGGCTGCACTGCTATTCCCCATGTGCTGTGTATCATAGTATTGGATTAAGAAGAACATGTTAAAAGAAGTGGACATCAGGCAAAATGGGTATAGAGGTCAGGACCAGAGTTACCTGGGACACCTCCAATGTGTAGCAACCCCTGGGTGCTGTTAGGTAGAAAGGTAAGCTGGCCAGCTGTGTAACTGTTGTCTGTGTCCAGTTGCAAGTGCAGGATGTGTTGTTTGATGGTGACTGGAAGAAAGGAAGCTGGTTAGGTCTGTCACCTAAGGTGAGCTCTTCCCACTGTTTAATGTTGGCACTCTTGAGTACATTGGCCTCCTTTGAACTCATTCCCCTCGAACCCATGGAAGCTCTATTTGCAGGCACTTGGCCAGCCTTGGTATAAATTCAATATACTTCTTAACACCAGGCAGTGTTAGGTGCCACTACACACATTGCCAAATCCTTAAAATGAATCTGTGCGGAAGACATCATCATTTGCATTTCTCAGGTACGAGTACCTGACCAATTGGCATATTTTTAACAGCTGATCTCCTGTTTCCAGAAGCCAAGCTTACTTCCCATGAGCTCAGCTACTGTTTCAGAGGCACTGACTTCTGAAAACTGACACCACAGTGAACACAAATTTTGACTCAAAATTTCTCTTATGTTAACAACCAGAGCTATTTGCAAGGGAGTTACTGTCAAATCAGCAGAGAAAAGACCACTTTTACTAAAAGTATTTTAGCCAATACATGTTCAGCTTTTTCTAAAGTAATATCCACAAGTTATAACGTAACAGATTCTATCTGAGAGGATATGCTTGCTCCACTGTTGGTTTGTTTAAGTAGCCTGCATTAACATTAAGTGATTGTTGAAAAAAAAATAACCCAGTAGTGAACCTTAACAATATACTAGTAACAGGAGAGTCTCACGACATATCACATAGGGGCTAAGCATTTTACACACACTTATCCTATTAAATTTTCTCAGCCCTACCAGCTAAACATTATTTTTGTTCTCTATTTTATGTATGCAGAAATTGAAGGTAACAAGCTTTTAAGTAACTTATCCAAGGTCACATAGGAGATTTGGCCTCTCTTCTTTCTGACTTTAGAGCCAAAATCTAAATCACTATGTTATAGTACAGCCTATAAGTTTGCTGGGCTCAACAAAACCCCCCAAAAAGCCAAAAAAACAAAAACTCAGCCTGCTATGGAGAACTGGAGGTAACTCCTGGGGACTGACGATGGACAAGTAAACTGGTGGGTTGACCCGGGTCAGCTCCAGCACTGGACTGAGGCTGCCTTGGATCCTAACTCCAGATGAAAGGAGACTGTTTCAGTGTCTGACTAATAAGGCTAATAATGGATGACATACCTGCCACTGAGTGCCACTGTCCATCACAAAGAGACTGCTTTGGTGTGACTGATGTCAAGGTTCCACCTGTCCCACTGTCCACAGACACTGTGACCTGGAACACAATGCATTTTGTTATTCCCTGCTGAAAGGAGCCAACTTTCCCCTGCCCTCTTCCCTTCTCACACCTGGCCACACATACAGCACTTTAAATATTGGTCCCCTGACTCTTGCACCAGGTAATTATTTGGGGTCCAAGGCTTTCGAAGACTCCTTTTGCTATATCCCTTCTAGGCAAGCAAGTTACAAATAAAGACACTGCCTGAAGTTTCTGGCCATGGCAATGGGCCATTCTCTCTTAATCTAATCCCTGCTCCTACAGCCCTCAGAGGTTACTGATGAACACCAACTATGCTCCACAGCAATTAATATGCAACAGAGGCTCTATTTAGAAGGACATGTGAAATTTAGAAGTCAAAAATGCTGGCAGAGGCCCTACACTCTGCTGCATGGGCCAGCCAATTATTAAAATCCCATGAGTGCATTACATATTAGAAGGTTCTCATCTAAGATGTTAAAACTAGTTACAGATTGTGTTTCTACTGGGCATGCATCAGGTGTCAGGTACTCGTCTGGTTTGGGGAAGAATCCTGCCTTCCCACTGTTTATGTCAGGGGCTCCTCTAGGATCTTTCAAGGGTTGAATCCAGGTGAATGAAGTGACAAGACTAAAATAAGTACATTTATAAATAATTTACACTTGATTTGCCCGTAGCTAGATGTAATAGGCTTGTCATAGGCAATTTTGAATTGAAACGTTATAAAGGTTGTCAGGTCTTGATTTTGTTTCCTTGACATCATTTACTATTCAGAGACCGGCAGCGCAGAACTTTCCAACCCCTCCTGAAAATCCGGCCTTGTCTCCACCAGCGAACAGGTGGGCAGTAGCTTGCTCCTCTGGGAGAGGACACCTGCACACTTAATGGCTACAACTTCAGTAAAAAGTGTTCTAGGGGCTGGGGGTATAGCTCAGTGATAGAGCACTTAGGTAGCATGAGAGAGGCCCTGGGTTCAATCCGTAGCACTGCCAAAAAAAAAAGAGAAAGTATTCCATGAGTTTGAGCTATTTCATTTTCTTCTAGGACTTGTTTTTTCTCATATTTAATAAACTGTGGAAGGATGGAGATCAAAGAAAGTGGATTGATCTTGGACTTGAGGCCTTAACTCTGAGAGGCATCCTGGAAGAATCTGGTTTTGAAGAGATGCTTTGAGAAGGAAAGAACAAAAACTTAGTGGTGGAAAATAGGATATTGACTCAGGCCTGTGAGTGATGGGAAGATGAGCCAGCAAAAGCATAAATCGAAGAAGGAATCCATGAAAAGCCAAAGGAAAGTTGGCATGGGATCCAGTCACCAGCTTGGCTGCAGGGACCAGAGGTTGAATTCTGTAGAAAGAATATGGGGATCAGCATTGTTTCCAAGGGTGCAGGGCCATGAGCACAGGATAACCTGGTATAGACAGCTGGTGTGAAAGCATATCTCATTAAATTTAGTTCTATCCTTCTGAGGAGATGTAATAAGAGTGAGGGAAAAGAGGGAAAATAAACATTTATGGGTATGAGGCAGTTTTTCTTGTCTTGATAAAAGTTCTAGCATGTGAGAATTATCTACATTTTATAGATATTGAAACTGAGTCAGAAAGAGTTTAAGTATCCCCTCTGGTCCTATAACTGACCAGTACAGCTGGAATTCAGCCTGATTTGTTTGAGATTTCCCAACTTATAGATGAGGAACAGAAAACATGATAATATTACTTGCTAAAGTAAAATGTTAGTTCCAAAGTCAGGTTTCTTAACTGTAAGATTAGATTCCATCTTCTACCATAGCTTCACATACAGAGGCAGAATTTTGTTTCCCTCCCCTGTCTTGTGTCATCAGACTGCTACCTACCTTTCCTGCTTCCATATAAACATTTAAGTGCTGTCCAGATTGACTTCCGATGTGTATTAGGATCCCAGTAAGACTTCTTGGGCGAATGCTAAAAACAAGCTTAAATTCTGGACTCAACAATACAGAATTAGCTTTCAAAAGAAAGAAAAAAAACAGTTAAAGAATCAGAATTAAAGACAATAGAGTTCTTCAGACTTCAAGACATGAATTCTACCAAACTGCTCCTTACCCAGAATGACATGACCTCCTCCTTGGGAGAAGTAAATGCCTTTTTCCAAAGAGCCACCCAAGCAGGGAGATACCCCAAAGCTTTCAGAAGGGGAATCCAAGGGTTTTAGATCCAGCTTGAAGTTCTTCAGGCATCCCACAAAGCTGTTTTGGGGAAGGCTCTGTAATGAAAAAGAAGAGAAAGAATCATTACCTGCAGCTCCCAGAAATGTAAGAGTGGCCAAGGTTAAGGGCATTGCAGATTGTCTGCAAAAGAGGATTCATTCTTCCTGCTGTGAAGAGTCAGGTGGGCCTGACTGTTTCATTTGGCTCCCTGCTCACAGTGGCAAGGAAAAAATCCTCCATATACTAGTGGTTTGGTGGGTGGTTGAAGTTTGAAGATGTCACCAAAACAAGTGGTATGTGTATAGGAGGACAGGGTGGTGGAGGCTGTTAGCCTGTGCTGGAATAAGAACAAGGAGGGTCAACCTGACCCTGGTCTACACAGATTGAGCTGCAACAGGGGAAAAATTTTCACCCCACAGTTTACAGAACTCATTGTCTCTTTGCAGGTACAAACATCCTTCTAGGGCTTCATGAGACAGTGTAATAGCTGAATGCAAGGCAGCTGATTGAAAAATGAGGCCAAAATGTTCCAAAAATAATAAAGTGCAAAACAGCTCCTTACATTGTTAGGCTCATGTGCTACCAACAAATCACGAATGCCTGGAGTTAAAATAAGACGCATGTGCATCATCAGTAAGACTGAAACTAGCCTGGAACAGGGGTTCCCCACCTGGGCTTCTGAGCATTTGTAATTCCTTATTATATACTAGATGATCTCTGAATGTACATTTCAGACATGTACATTTAGAAAATTCTCAAAATGGCCCTAATATTCTCAAAAAAAGGTTTTAGACTCATTAAATAAAATCCCTAAACCATCTTCTAGAAAAAATGCTGAGGACCCTGGAATCCTATACAACAGATGCAAGATGCGGTAATGTTAAGAGAAAATAGTGATGTTAGAGGTGCATGTGGTCCCAGTGTCAACAATAAACTGCTGAAATTCTTAGTTTAAGGTTTGTTATGCTATATGATGAAAAACCTGTATGTGAAATAGAGCACAGACTCCCCAGGACAGTCTGCAACCTGACACTGAATATCTAAGGGCTGACTGGAGTTCTGGTGTTCAGTAGCACTCTTGGATTGCATAGTGTTATGGTGTGGATCTTCAATGTCACCCAAATGCCATATGCTGAATGAAGGCAATCACCAGCCTGTGGTGCTATTGGGAGCTGATGCAACCTTTAGGAGGCAGGGCCTAGCAGGAGAAAGTGTGGTCACTGGGGGTGTGTCCTTGAACGTGATATTGGAACCGCTGCCCCTTCCCTTTCTGTTTTTACTTCATGGTGGCCACAAGGAGCAGCTCTGCTTTACTTGGTACTTCCCTCCATGATGTTTTGTATCAACACAGCCCCAAAGCAAACATGGACTCAAACCTTTGAAGTCCACAAGCCAAAATAAATCTTTCCTCCTATTGAGTTTATTTTTTCAGGTACTTTGTCACAATCTGCCCTTGGAAAGGATATGGAAGACAGCTAATACATTGGATACCTGGATATAAATCCCCAGGTTGCAGAAAGGCTGTGAAAAGAAGTTTGGTTGTAAAGATTATTGTAAATGGGTGCTATTATTTCCCACAGATGTTAGGAGACTGGGTATAATTAAGGTGGTTCTTAAGGGAATCTATCCAGGTCAAAAGAATACCCAAACTGTGCCCTTCAATAATCAACCCATCCTGTGAGTTCTGTAAGAGGGTACTAGATACAGAGGTTGAGGAAAAGTAAACATTAGCACTGAGGGTCCTCCTTAGCACTTAATATTATAAATTATATTGCATATAAATGCTATATATTATTTATGATATACACATAAAAGTTATTATATACATAAAAGTTACTATGTAGTAATACTATACATACTATATATAATATTATATACACTATAAAGAATAAAAAAAATACTTTATTGCTTGCTAGGGCTTTGGTGCGAACCCCAGGGCAAAATTCAAGTGGGCCAGGCTTTGCCCAGTGGATACACCAGCTTCAACAAGGTCAGGCCCTACAATTCAAGCTGATAGAGAAGACCTGCTTTAATTACCTCCATTTCTAGTCTGGGCCCTTCCCTGACTAACTGCAAGTAAGCATCTTACCAGAATGTGCCACCTGCTCTTAAGAAAGGAACAAAAATCACATTTAGGTGGAGGACAGTTCCTAGGCCTGAGATGTTGATAGGACCAGATTTACCTTCTCTCTGTGGGAGAAAGGGTAAATCTGGGAGAAGAGAAACAGGAATACAAGGCCACCCCAAGTAACCCAGGCAGTGGATAACTCTGCCAGTAACTTAGACACTGTGGGAGGAGAGATGGGAGAGAGGGCATGCACAGAACTAGTCCTGGGGCTGTGGCTTCAGCAGAACCGTAGAACTTCACAAGCCCAGGGAAGTGTCCCTACTCCTTGGGGACAGAGGAATCCTGACTTTCCTTCAGCCCAGCATTCATAATTATGGTTCTTGAGATAACTTGGTGACCTCAGACACCAACATTCAGTTAATAAGTTTTTCCTTTTCCTTTCATTCTGGAGATCCAAACCAGAGCTTTGAACACTGAGAACACCCAGTGCTGTTCTCTGCTTTTTCAATTCTCTCTCTAGCCCTCTGATTAGAAAAAGGAACAAATTTCAGCTCTATGCTAACAGGTTTTAAACATATTAAATGGCAAGCTCCTTTTTATACACATGATTGGGTAGAGGTCTCATGATCTAGCTAGACTTTATGGCACTATTTAATTTTCATGTATTTATTTTTATGGTTACCTACTATTTATGGCAAAGGATACTGGGTTTCCATCTAGGAGAAAGAGGAAAAAAACCCTTGAAAACATTTAATCCCACAGTGACTTAATAGCAAACGATGAAGGTGACAGAACTACTAAACTTTGAAATGCATTATCTGAATCTGAAATCTCCTTAGGCCTACGATCTTAAAACTGTGTTTGCATTCCCTGGAAGAGAAGCTGAGAAACTCATTGCTACATAGCAATAGGCACTTCTTCAGGTCTGCATCGCCATCTCCACTTTCACTGGCACCTTACAAAGGAAGGCTTGGGACCCTCTGTGAATTTATGAACATCAGAGATTAAAAAAAAACATTTAAAGCATTTCACTGGGTACTGGTGGCTCGCACCTGTGATTCTAGCTACTTTGGAGGCTAAGATTGGGATGGATCTCGGATCAAAGCCAGTTGGGGCAATTGTTTACAAAACTCTATCTTCAAAATAACCAGGGCAAAAGAGACTGGAGATGTGGCTCAAGCAGTAGGGTGCTTGCTTTGCAAGAACAAACCCCAGTCTACCCCCCACCCCCCAAAAAAAATATCATTTAAAGTCTCTTGAGATGCTGGAATTTGAACTCAGGGCCTTGCGATTGCTAGGCAACCACTGTGCCACTTGAACCATGCCTCCAAGCCTTTTTGACTTTAGGTTATTCTTAAACTGGGGTCTTGCTTTTTGCCTACACCAGCCTGGGACCATGATGCTCCCACCTATACTTCTAGCACAGGCTGGGATTACTGGCTGAGACAGAATGTGAGAAACTTTTTGCCTGGGCTGACCTTTAGCTGTGATTCTTCCACTCTCCATCTCCATAGTGTTTTGGGACTCTAAACTATCTCATATATAATGAGAATTATTCTTATGTATATTTACCTTTGGTTTCCCTGATAGTGATGATCCCAGATAAACTTGCACTGCGGTGTTGATGGTGGAATTTCCAGATAAGCTGCCCTCCAGGGCCCTCAGCCCATCCACAGCCAGGCGCCCCTTTCCTCCATCTTGCCCGAACACCACCTTCCAGAGTAAAGAGAATAAGTGGACCCAAAGTTTTACCTCTGATACTTGGTGTTGCATTTTATTAGTGGTCACAGGAAATTAAAAACAATTTTTTCTATCCTCAGACAACTGAAAAATTAAAGGTTTCTCTCCCATTTATTGTCATCACCATGGTTTTGTGAAATTATGTCACATACTGGGAAAACTGAGATACGAGGATTACTAAATAAAAAGTTGTCTGAGAGTGAACTAATAAACAGATGCAACCGATCTGGAAATTGAGCAACCAAAGGCACAAAACATCAATGTACATGCTTACAACCCAGGGAAGGAACAGTTGCCTAGAACTGAGAGGAGGGATGTCATCTGTGCCCTCGGGCAGGGCTCTGGGAACAAGCAGAAATAAGCCAATTCTTTGGGCAAATGTTGTCAACTTGTTGTTACAAGTTAGCACCCCTGGGACCTTAGGTGGACTCTGCCCTCTCATGGCAGTGGGACGCTCACAAATGACTTCCCAGCCTCCACTGTCTGCTGACACGTGGGTAGAGCATCTGATGGGCCATTAGCCCCAAGACATCCTAGTCCTCCCCAGCTTGCTCTTCAGTCATATCACCTCCTCTCCATCTGCCCCATCTCAGCCAATGCCCACCTTTACCCAACTGCTGGCCCAAGCCACAGGACAAGGAATTGGTTCCTCCTTTCTCTCACATGCCAGTGCAACCTACCAGCTGGCTTTCTTCGTTTTTGTTTTTGTATTGGAGTTTGAACTCAGGGTGTTGTGCTGCTAGGCAGATGATCTACCACTTGACCACATCCTGGCCCTTTTTGCTTTAGTTTGTTTTTTAGATAGGGTCTTACATTTTTTGCCTGATGCCAGCTTGAGGGCCAAGATCCTCCTACTTTTACCTACCACATAGCTGGGATTATGGGCGTGAACCACCACACCCAGGTTGGTTTTTTTTAGATATGGTCTCACTAATATTTTTCCCCAGGCTGCCCTCTAACCATGATCCTTCTATCTCTGCCTCCAAGTAACTGAAATTACAAGTATGAGCTACCACACCTGTTCTCCAGTTGGTCCTCTTGTTCTATCTTCAAAACACATCCTAGATGCCTACCTTTCCTCTCTCTACCACAGCTTCTCTAGACAAAGGCAATAGCATCCACAGGGTCCTCCCACTTCTATTTTCACCCCCTTGTAATTTTTTCAGCTAAAGACAGCTTAAAAACAAATCTGCTCATATAACTCTGCTTCACTAGGTTAAGACTCTTCAAAAGCTTTAGACACACTTGGAATGAAATCCAAAGTCTTTAGCATGGCCTTCAAAGCTTAAATGATCTGGTGTTGTCTCCCTCTCCATCCTCTTGCTTATCACTCTGTGGTTTGTCACTGAAATAGTACAAAGACTCACAGTCTTTGTATTTGGTGTTCCCTCTGTCTGGAACACCTTTCCCATAACATCCTATGATGACCACCCCTGCAGGAGGCCTTTTTTGACTGCCTTACCTAAAATAGTCTCCCTCCCTGTCATTTCCTGACCTTGCTCTAGTGCTTTTCCAAAACACTGAAGATTTTCTGTTTATGTGCTCTAAGAGAGCAGCGCATGAAATATTTGTTGAATGACTAAAAGTGAATGTTGAATGACTAAAAGGGAATGGAACCCAAGTCTAAACACAAAATTCATTCGCGTTCCATACATCCTTTAGTACCATACATACACACAGTCTAAATGTATTATGTGTGTGTTGCTGTACTGGGGTTTGAACTCAGGGCCTTGAGCTTGCTAGGCAGGTGCTCCGCCACTTGAAGGACGACCCCATCCATTTTTGAGCTTTAGTTATTTTTAGATAGGATCTCATGCTTTTTTCTGGGCAATCCCTGGGCCTCAGTCCTCCCAAATATCTGGGATTATAGGCTACTACTACCATGCCTGGCCCTGAGGTAACGCAATACAGTGAGGTGATCCAATATTTTCAGTGTGTCTGTGTTTTGACTGAGATTGATCCCAAGAGGTCAAGTGTGGAATTTTCCACTGGTGGTGCTATTTCACTCCTCAGAGTGGGACTTTAGAGCATTTGGGATTTGTATGTGGAGAATGCTCAAGCTGTAGCAGCCCAGCCCAGCTCTCACCGTGTGCCACTTCCCATCATTGTATTTCTCTTTGCTCCTGAGCCTCAGTTTCTTCCCTTCTGCCCCCAAAGCAAAGATGAGGTGTCCCTTTGAAAGATAAAGAGCCATGAAGGAGTTCTTGGTGCCCATGTGAAACACGAGCCCTCTGGAGGACGTTGTCTGCATGTCCACAGCAAACTGTGACCTGCGGGGAAAAGAAAGGAACAGGCAATGAAAGGAAGTGGAGGTTTCCAGTGTTTCTCTGCATCTCAGAGCTGGGAGAGTGGGTGGTGAGCATCTAGACCTTGGCCTGCCCCTCCGGAGACTTTTAAGACACCATGGGATTCCAGCTATTAAGGTTGTGTTGTATAATTTCCTTACTGACTTGGGGAGTAAAGTGGAACTTCTACGGCAAGTCAAACTAGTGGTATATGTCCTAGCACATGGCAAGAAGGAACATGACTGGACTATAATTAAAAAACACTACAGGGTCAGGCATGGTGGCATATGCCTGTAATCTTAGATTTTCTGGAGGCAGAGATAAAACGATCATAGTTTGGGGCTGTCCCTGAAGAAAAAGAGCAAGATCCTATCTAAACAATAAATTAAAACAAAAAAGAGCGGGGGTGTGGCTCAAGTGCAAGGCCCTGATTTCAAACCCCAGCACCACCAAAAAGAAAAATTTATTTGAAAATTCACATAACACAAAATCTGCCATCTTAACCACTTTTAAGTTGTTAAGAAATTCACAATATTGTATAAGCCAACTCCAGAACACTTCATCTTATAAAACTGAAACTCCTTACCCATTAAACAATAGCTCTAGGGAATTTTGTAAGTAGAATCACATCATATTTGTCTTTTTGTGACTGGCTTATTTCCCTTAATAGCACAAACTGTTTAAACCCAATGAATATGCATTCTATTTAGTGTGTATTCATGGAGTGGGAAGCTATAGGAGGAGAAGCGGCAAGCCTGAACACAAGGATGTGACTCAAGCATCAGAAAAGCACATTCTTCCTGTAAGACACATTTAACATCAAGACGCCTTCTCCTGCCTACCTCTACATTTCTCCAACCCTCATACTTAATCTATGATGGAACAGGAATTAGACAAATATTGTGTAGTCAAAGCAGAGATTAAAAGTTAATGTTCATTTGCATGATGGCTGTGTATAATATGCACATTAGGCCAAGCAAGCTTTACTTTATATGAAAACTCCAATCCATCCCTCCATCCATCCATCTACCCAATATTTACTGAGTGTGTAGCATGGCACTGTGCTGGGCACTAGGACTGAAGTCGTGGGTGTTTCTTTTTTTGACTAGCTTATGGAACATGCATGCACTGGGAGGGGTTGGTAATGGGTCAGCAGAAAAGGTAGTGGAGACACAGGTATCAAAGGGTCACCAGTGCCCGTTCCCTGGGGTTAATATTTAAGTACACACCAGACAGAGGGCAGGGACTGGTATCCCTAGGGCCCAGTACACAGCAGGCACTCAATAAATAGTTTTTGAATTTAGTTCAATGGCAACTGAAAAATCTGGAGGCAGGATCTGGGAGTGGAAGGCAAAATTATACTGTTAATTCTCTTTGCTTTTTAACACTGTGAGGCTGAGATGCACATTTATTCTTCAGATCAGCAAGTTCCTGAAGGGCGACGTTCTTCAAAATGAAAAAGAACTCTGTCTTTGGTAAATAAAACCACCCAGATGGTGCTGCAGCTCAGTGTTTCTCTGGTATATCTGTGTGCAAGTGTGGGGGTGTGAAGCATGAGGGCTGGCAGCATGAGAAGGCTGCTGGAACTCACTCCAGAATGTTGAGTGCTGTGCAAATGTGGGCTTAGTGATCTGGCTTGACCTTGGCTTTCCAGAGCTGTTTCTGAAGGCAATTTTCCTTCAGAAAAGACTAACTGACTCACACCTCAAAAAGGCAGCAGAAGATTCAAATCTCTGAGTGTGATATTGTGGCTGGAGGAAGTTAACCAGCATTTTCATACACTTACCACGTGGTTAAGCTAATGGTGCTGGTTTTAAAGGAGAGTCAGAACTTAAAGGACAGTGAGAATGTAAATCAGAATGAGAGCAAGAGCAAACTCCAAATCCTGTAATTTCTTCAACGTATAATCGGATCATTACACTTTTGAGATGAGATAATTTAAAAATTAGCTGAGTGTTGGTGGCTCACGTCTGTAATCCTAGCTACTCAGAAGGCAGAGATCAGGAAGATTGTGGTTCGAAGCCAGCCTGGGAAAATAGTTTGTGAAACTCTATCTCAAAAAAATCCTTCACAAAAATAGGGCTGGTGGAGTGGCTCAAGGTGCAGGCCTTGAGTTCAAGCCCCAGTACCACACACACACACACACACACACACACACAAATTAAATATACAAATGACTATTGTTTTTTACTTTTTCCCTTTAAACTGTTATCTTTTTCATTTTTGGTGGGTAACCTAGTGTTGAATGTGAAGGTATTAGGGTTAAATCATGTTATCTGGAAGCAGCCCAGATAACTGGGTGGGGGGATTGGAAAACGGCAGTTGGGTAGCATCTGCAGCTGCTGTTTCTTTAAGAATAGAAATTGTCATGAAGGCGAACTTGACCAAGAAAGCAGGGTTGGGTCGTAGGGCCTCCCTACTCAGAAGTTAAGAAGTTGAAAGCAGAGGGGAATACCCAAAGGATAGCACCCCTGCTATCTTAGTGTTCCTATCGTATAGTCTGGGCAAATGCGGGATCCCCAGACTTTCTATAGACAGCTTGAGCCATGGAGATGTGGAGCTGCCTGCACAGGTTTTCCCCTGCAGAACTTTCAGGCCTTCATATCTCTGTGCCTGTGAAACACACCTGGGATTTACTACATGGGCTTTCATGGGCCAGTCTCCTTCAAAGTTATTACCTGTCCCTGCAAAGAAAGCAGTGCCAGTGTCCTTTAACTGAAGGGAAAACTGAGGTTCAGAGCAGAGGGAAACCTTAGGCATAGAAAACTCATATGGTTTATTGAGGCCACAAAGATGTGCTCCCTTCAAAAGAATCTGCTACCAGGGCACAGTGAGTGGGCAGCAGCCAGCAGACACACCCTAGGCTCTGCAAGAACACTCAGGCTGCTTCTAGTCAAGGATTGAGCATGGCAGGCATACTGGACTGGGCCACTTATGGAACACTAGACCATTCTCAGAGATGGCCTCTTGTATGGGGGTGCACTGTGGGCCTGGCTGACTTCCTCAGAGCCATACTGTAGCTGGAAGCCCTTCCACCCAACCCTCCTCCATGAACCTGCTCCCTTCATAGGGGTCTTCAGGCCCCATCCCAGCTATAGGCTATCCCTGCCCTATCCATCCCCTCCCATCAAATTTCATAAGCTTTCCTTCAATAAACCTCTTGCTCAACCAGTACTATCTTGGTGTCCATATCACAGAGGCACTAAATTGGCTTATAGCCTTGGGCCACACAGCCAGTACTTGGCCAAGCAGGGGTTGAAAGCCTAGGATTATAGCCAGATCCTTGGTCAATTCTGCCTCTGCAGAAAAGTCTTGAAGAAATGGCTCCACTTCTGTCTTTATGTCTCCTTGAAATCACCTGACCATGACAAACATGGCTTTTCTACTTTCTACTGACATAATTAACATTTATGCTCATGTTCTCCTCCCCCAAAAGGATGCGACTTGTTAGCATAAAAAGTCTAAATGCCTTCTCTAAAAATGTTCTATCTGGTACTGAGGCCACCTAAGAGAATGATTTTCCTTCTACTTCAGGATACAAGAGAAGAAAGGTGATTTATCACAGAAATAAATAGCAGCTTTGGAAAAAAAATCAGCCCCTATTTTTAGAACACCATCAATTCTCAACTGGAGCTGAGCTGATTGCTTCAGGCTCCGAGCAACACCCTGCCACATTTGTGCTCCAGCTGTCAGGGAGAGCATGGGGCAGGCATCACGCTCTCTCTCCTGTGCAGGCTAGTGCCTCTCTTCATGACAATGGTAGTGCCACCTCTGTCAGTGACAGGTGCATGGTGTCATGTCACCTAGACTTCCCCAGGATAGATTTACACTCAGATTCTGAGTTGGTGCTGGAACAGGGAAATTTAAAAGTACCTGGATTTTAGCAGCTCCTGGGGAAGCTTGAATAGCAAGTGGCTGGTGGGACTGTCCCCAAACTGAAGGGCTCCTTGACTGGCCTGGGCCCTAAGAGGTGGCAGACAGGACTTCACATCTTGCCATACCTTTGTGCTCTTCAGGGAGGCCACTGGTGCATCCTGGAGCAGCTGCATGGGAGAGGAGAAAAAATTAGGACAACAGAGTTCTCAGGGCGAGTGTGAAGAAAGCTTTTCTTGCCAAGGGCAGGGCGCAGTTTTCACTCTTGATTCTAAGAGACGAACTCAATGAGAAATGGAGGGCTTACTTGGCCACAAGCCCCACGGGGAAAGGCTTTTCCACCTAGCGCCTTTCCTGCCAACCACTGACTAGCAGGGAGAGGGCACGGAGAGCCAAAGCCCACGCTCAGCTCCTTGATCTTCTGCAGCCAGACCTGCCCACTCCTCATCAGAGGCCTATCGTGGCCTGATTTGGGACCTTTTGCCTCCACAAAGGAATAAACATGACTGGAAAGGAGACAAGGTCTGGGGGAGTCTAGATACCCTTTTCTCTCACTCTTTGGAGGAAGATGCATGTTATTCCTCCCTTCTACAAGTCTTTTCAGAAAGCTGCCGCACTTGGGACCTTCAGGCATCCGGGCCCTTTCCCCATCACGGAGCATCAGGGAAACAACTGGGTACCCTGAGAGAGTCAACACATGGCCAGCAGCATGAGGCACTCACAGCCTGCCACTGGGACATGGGGCCCAAGCCCAACACCTCCCCTTCCTAGTCATTCATTTGGGGTTCTGTAGCAGGGCAGGTGAAGCACCAGAGAAGAGAAAAGAGCCTGGGGGACTGCACTTTTATTAGCATTGACTCATGCATAAGAGTCTGTCCTCTGCTGGATGATTCTTTGAGCTTTTGAAAAGGGCTATGTTTTAATGCAGATAAAACAACCAAAATAAGTACCAAGTCTGTCCAGAAAAATTGTTGGAAGAAACTGAAATCTTCCAGCCCTTCCCTTTTTTCTTCTCTGCTGCAGAGCCCAGATTTTGAAGTGCCCACACCTCTACCATAGAATAGATCCATAAGTCTAAACAAAAGATGAGGATTTCTCTTGCTAGGGATTGGTTTAGGAATGAACATGTGACCTCTTCCTGGCCAATGGAACTTAAGTGGGAAATAGTGGGTAGGGATTCTGACAACAGAAGAGACAGACACCCAGACAGAATCAGTGCTTCTTGTGTTGGCCATTGTCCAGTGAGGATGTGTTTCCCAGAACCCCAGGCAGGAGGTAGCCAAGGAAACTTATAAGAGGCAGAGTACAGTCCTAATGGACAAGTCTCAAGTCCCACCTCTGCCTAGTCTGTCATTGTGTGACAACATTACTTTACTGTTTAAGCCATTTTGGAAGGAATTTTTTGGAAGCAACAGCTAATGGCTTCCTAACAATATTCCTTCATGATTTTGTTTTCCTTCCAGCCCAATCCTGAATATGGTACTCTGAATGCATACATAACATCAATTCTGTATCAACCTATATGCTCACACATTGTTGATTAGAGGTGTTTAATCATAGCTATCAGAAAGTTAAATGAATTGCTTCAATTCAGAGCCAACCTTGGTCCTATTGAGAACAGAATCAAGGCTGGGTCCTGCCTGAGAGGGCCTTATTCCCTCTCTGAAGGTTTCCTCTGTCCATCATCAGTAACAGCAACACTAAGATGAACAGTTTTAGTAAACACCTTCCCACCAACTCTTCCTTAATTCTCTTAATGGCATCGTCATCCTTCCGGAAATTTATATACACCCACCTCCTTTGCTTTTCTCATGCCTCACCTTCACACCCTGCTGTTCTTCTCTGGGACATATTTTGCTTCTGCTCTTTCATTTTCATTTCTAGTCTCTGCCCTGAAAGTCAGCCCTGACTCTCTTGCTTGGCTATTGAAGTAGTAACTTGCCAGTTTAACTCCTTGCTTCTAGAATTTTCCTATACCAAACCACCCCACAAATTGCTGCCACTCTAATAATCTTTAACCCTTTAAGCAGCTTAAAGTACTCCTTTTAGTGACTTACATTGACTACAAAAAGATGTCCAAGCTATGCAAGTCACACAAGATTTGTCTGATCTGGTGCCAGTGTTTGATACAAGTCACCTCCCCCTGGTCTCCTTTCTCCACCAAACTCCCCACTGTTCATCTAGCTTTTCCAGCCTGTAGAGGCTTGAAGAGCACACCATTTGGGATTCTATAGCCTTAACTTTGAATTCTAGGTCTACCATTTTCTGATTGAGTGTTCTTGGGGAAGTTAAAAAAAAGTTATCTGAAATTCAATTTCCAGACCTGTAAAGTTGACAGCTTATTCTGCTCTCAGAGGGTTTGTGAAGCAGAGAGCATGCATGCTAAGTGTGCTGTTCCTGTGAGCTCTACCCACATCCTGCCTATCAGCTTTGGGCTTTGCTCATGCAGCACTAGTATTTGGTCATATGAACTCCACCCATGATCCAGACAGCCCCAGTTCCTGGGTCACCTCCTCCAGAAGAACATCTCTGACTTCCATGGCAGGAAAACTTCTACACCACCTGTAACATGTTATAGCTCTTTCATTTATGTGCTTCTCATTGTGCATAGTAATAACTAGCATGTACTGCATACTTCCTATGCTTCCTGAGTGCTTGTTACCTCTTTTAGGTCTCACAACATCATAGGAAATTACCACTACTTACCTTCATTTACATGGGACCAGACAGATCTCCAGAGAAGTTAAATTATCATTCAAGGATACACACCTTAATGGGAAGGCCCCATGCAAACTCAGGAAGTTTGGCCACTAAACTCTGTTGCATTCTCTCTGCAACTGGGCTACTGGAGGCAGAACTAATGTCTTCTTCTATCTAATCTGGAGCTTGCACAGGAGAGGTAATATTAAATAATGTGTTCACTGATGTCTCCCATGGCAATTGCCCTGCTCCCACCCTATTTACCTACCAAGACCCAGAGACAATGATAGTTTTCCACCAATTCTCTCCACCTGACTGCCCCTGATAGCACTGGCCACTCTATATGCTACAAACTCCATTCCTTCGATTTCTCTCCAAATATTCATCCTCCTGTCTCTATGGAGCTCTCAATGGCCTCTCCATCCACCCCACAATTCAGACTGGATGCCTCAGAATTCTTCTGTGTCTTCCCAGCCTCCCAAATCCAATTATTGTCTGAGTTAAATATATTCTATCTTTGGAATAGCTTTAGAGTTCATTTCCTTCTCTCCAGTTCCATCGTCACTATACTGATGTCATCTCAATAACTATCACCCATACAAATGAAAATATGAATATATGGTTTCATTTCTGAAGGGGCAATTCTAAAGGCATTCTCTCATAACAGTAAAATGACAACCCTTTGGGATTCATGAAGTGAATTTCTTAATAGCATAAAACATTTCTTATGATGTATTATTTGTTTGCGCTCTCCCAAATCATTGTGCGGCAGGGAAATATTGGTAAATGAGCAGCACGTGGCTGACATTAAGTGAAAAGTATGTTGGGCAGGAGCAGCTTGCTCTTAAGAAGGCACGGGCTACTGGGTTGGAATTCTACCGCTACCTCTACCTTCCATCTGTAGGAGATTGGGCAAATTGCTTACCTGTCTAGATTGCAGTATCCTTTTCTATAAGATGTGGCTAGCAATGGTATTCACCATAGAAGTCTAAAGATTTACTAAGAAAATCCACTTGGAAGGCTTAGTGTACTGTCTGGCAGACTAGGGGTGTTCAGTGCTATCCATTAATCTTATTAATTGTGACCTCGGATATGGGGTAGTCACATTGATGACTTTAGGCAGAGAAAGGAATTCCTTAAATCCTAACCCTGTTTTGAATTCAAGACAGCATTTCTGTTCCTCCACATTAGGAATGCCATTTCTTTTCAGTCTCTCTCAGTGTGGGACATTAGAATGGCCTGGGAAGCTCTGCAAACTGGACCTGAGTCCACTCCAACAGCCTCTGACCTGATTGGGTCAGATGCATGTTGAGAACTGTGATTTCAAAGCTCCTCGGTGTTTCAAATGTGTAGTCAAGGAGGGCCACTCTGGCTTCACCAAGGCCTGGATGGGCATGTAGATCTTGCCATAGGAGTTATATCAGGGCATAGGGGATGTCTATGGACAGAAGGAACATGGGTCCCTGTACTATAAAATCACCAGTCCTGATGTAAGACACAGCACAAGTGTCAAAAGAGCAAGACATCAGCTATAGAAATGTTGAAATCTAAGTTAAAGTTTTCTTAGTAACTAGGTAGGTCGTTTTAGGGGAAACTGATTTGATTGGGGGAGTAAAGCTGCTGACCCTTTAAAGGACTGTTAACATCCCTCTGAAGTTGTTTTTTGTGTTTCAGATAATGCCTTCCAGGGAAAATAATCACAAAGAAGTGGTTTAAACCCACCACGGTCATCGAGCCCCTGTTCTAGGGTGATCTAGAGAAAACACTGTTCTTCCCTCGAGGGGTGTCCCTGTCCACCATTTTTTAACATGTGATACACGACGACACGCACTACCTCCAGCTGAATATGCTCAGGAATGTGCCCCTCCCTATCTGTGATGAGGAGGCTTTCCAATATGAATACGTATGAATTTCCTTGATGAAAATTCCTTGCTTTCTCTGTTCAGGGAGAGGCACTGTTTTCAGAATTATCCCCAGTGCTCTCCTATTTGCTGCAAGAAATAAACTTTTCTCTATTCTTTTATCCCCTAGTTTGGGTTACGGGCTTTGCAATCACCATGGGTGAGTTACCCATTGCATTCACTTGCAGTTCTACTTGTTCGGTGATTGGAAAACTGCCAATTTTTAAAATCAAGATCTAAAAAAAGCTGAAAAGAAAACCACTTTGTCATTTTGGTGCAATCCAATTGTTGACAGGCTACCAGTGCCATGTCATGAAGGCACTGGGTACCATGGATCAGATGATCTCCCACCTCCTTTCCTATCTCTTACCAGGCAGGCTTAGGAGAATCTTCTAGGAAGAAGTAAAACCCAGGGTAAGGCTTTGACACTTACCTGGTTGATATTGAAAGTCTTAGCCTTGTTGAACCTTGTAGAACCTTTAAGTAGCATCAGAAAAGGTGGTTTGTTTAAACTGCATCCTCCCAGGGACACATCTCTCTTGGTAGATTTACTGGCCAGGTCTAGGACTTGAGGACTCTGTGATAACCTGGAATGAGGGCAAAAATAAAAGCTGCTGCCAGACTCTTACTTACAGAGGAAGACCCAGTGGGAGAGAGCTCAGAACAATAATCCCATTCTTATTGTCATGGTTCCTAGGTAAACTTTCATCCACCTGCAAATTACCTCTACAAGCCAGCTAAAGAGCTAAGAAACTTTAATTGACCTAAAGTGTGGCAGGACTATGACAGGGCCAGACATCTACTTCTTTTTTGGTATGAGTGTCATATAGAAACATGCATATCCAATATGCACAGAGGAGACAGATGGGCACTGGGTGATACGGAATGACATTCATCATCAGGAAAATGCAAAGGTTGAGTTTATAGAAGGATTTTTCTGACCATGTTGAATAGGAAAGTCTCACTGACAAATTTGCTTGAGCCCAGGGTTTTCATCTGAGTTTTGAGATAGCAGAAAGCTGTTGCTAACCACCTTCCTAACTTCTCCATCCCTCCCACTTTCTGCTCTAATCACTGAACTATATGCTTATGAGAGATGTTTCATCAACCACATGTGGCGTGAGAACTCTGAGCCTCATCCTGCCTGAGGCGGTTGGTGACTGATGGGTAAAGGAGGGATGATGGCACCATCATAGCAGCCTTTGAGTGCCAGCCAGAACCAGGACCTCTTTTTCCAGTGCAGGAAGGATTTTGGCTCTTACCTAAAACTAGTTATTTTGAATTAGATGGAAACATTTTTAAAAACGTATGTAACTTGCCAAAGAGGGCATTTTGGAAGTTTATAGAATGAAAGCCTTGTGCAGCATGTTGACAAAACTGACTGCTAACTGGATCAATGAGACGCCCTTCATGTGGACAGCCTGCAATCACCAGTTACCCACAGGGAAGAGATCACCTACCTGTGGACAAAAACATTGCTGATACAACCCTCAAAATAACTCCCGCCCAGGCGGAGAGATTGCTGGGAATTTGAAAAGCCTTGTAGTCTTTGGTTCCTTCTCAGAGGCTGGTCATCCACGAGAAGCCGGAGGCTGAAAACAGGAACCAAGAGAAATAAGGGTGAGAACTGCTGGGAAAAATGCTTTTGTCATGGAGTCAACTCATTGACCAGACTTAGTATCTGTTGCCAAAACCCACTAGTTAAACTAGACTTACTTTTCAGGAGCATTTTAAGTTTTTTTCATGTATTTTAATACATAACACTTTTATTAATTAATGTATAAGTATAGAAAAAACATTTAGCTAAATGTTTGGCTTTATAAATTTTTACAACATGGATACACCAACATAATCAGCACCGAGAAAGAAACAGACTTGCCCAGGACCCCAGGAACCCCATTTTGTGCTTCTCTGTAGTTCTAGCTTCCCTTCCTCTCCAAGAGTAACTAGTATCCTAAATTCTGACAAACAGATGAATCTGGCCTGTTTTTGGGCTTGGTATAAATGAAATAATAAGTGATGTACTTTTTATGTGTGCCTTCTTTTGCTCCACATTATGTTTGTGAAGTTCATCCACACAAACTACATTACATGTATTCTAGATCTTTTTTCATTGCTGTATAGTAGTCTACTTTGAATGCACCATAATTTATTTATTCTTACAACTACTGATTAATTTTTTAGCAAGGAAATTGATAAAGAACAAAAAAGAAAGCCAAGACTTACAAGTAAAATAGTATTATCATCAAGAAAAAATATTTTATAAAAAGACATCAGAAAATTCCATTAAACTAAAGTGAAACGCTCAGGGCTCTGGCAGCAGTACCATTCCACTCACCCTGAGTTGTCGCTTATTACAGATACATAGTGCAGTAAGCCATCCATGTATATCTGTGGAGATTTGAAAATCGGGCTGCCATTGTCCCGGGTGCTCAATTCAATGTGACCATCTTCCAGAGTGACCTGCAGGCTACTTGTCTGAAATCATCACAGAAAATAGCTATTGATAACTTTCGTTTAAGAATTATGAATGAATGAATGCTGAATTTATTATCAAAACCAAGTATAATGAAGTCATGATGTTTTAGCACAAATGTTTTCACTTAGCCATTTTGAGCCAAAGAATATTTTTGGAATATTTTGACTCCATACTTATGTATATTAAAATCTTATGCAAACTACTTCAACACTGATGAATTTGTCAAAATCATTTTTCTGGATGAACATTCATTAAGCCAATTTAATTTCTCATCAATTATGCAAAATAGCTCAATAATTTTCAAATGTTTCTAGTTTTGCTTTCATTTTTCCCATCAGAATCGATTCTTTTCTGAATAATTTTTATGGTGAAGGAATGATACATCAATTTTTCATGTAAGATTACAACAATTATTTTTTCTCTGGTTATTGTGAATTTTTTATTTTCTAGTCATTATTTCTAGGAAGCCCAATTTTCCTTGTCAAACTATGCAGATCTGAACTTTGGCAAGATGATTTGACTCTTCCTGTCAATTAGTAATTTTAAAAAAATGTGTAATTCAGCAGCTGTCATTTCAATTTTATTCTTTTTTTTCTACCTAGTACAATTTCTGCAGTTTTTAGCAAGATGTGATTCTTCAATGAGCTTTCAGTCTAAAACAATTTGTACAGAATATAGTTAAAGACATTATTGGTTTTATTTTGTGCTCCTTTTTTTTCAATTGGCAGTATTCATTGTGAATTGAATCAAAGCATGCTACTTTATATGTATTTCTTACCTGATCCATTATGAAATTGAAAACAATGTCCCTAATATATTTCTAGAATTTCTCTATTGTCCAAATTGATCTAATTTTGGCTAATCCAATACTATCATCTGCTTTTGATCATTTTATTAAGAATTCCTGTACAGGGCAGAGAAAAAGTGTTAAGAGTATAAAAAGACCTATGTCAAAACATTCTGCTTGGATGGAAAAGTCACCCCCACAGCCTAACGTTGGCATATGCTTCTTTATGTTTTGTCAAAAAAAAAATAAGATCTCTAAAGACTGGTGAGCAAGATATTAAGAGACAAAGAGAAGAGAGGCCTAATACTATAGTGCCACAGAGCCAGCCCCATCAGTCCTTTTCACAGAGATTAGAAGGCTATGGTGCTTGGCAATGCTAAAGGAACAAATCCAAGAACGACAGTATTCTGTTATTTAAAAATCCCACTCCTTCCACCAATTTTTTATTTATTTATTTTTTTGCAGTGCTGGAGTTTGAACTGAGGACCTACACCTTGAGCCACTTCACCAGCCCCCTTTTTTTCCTTTTTTAATTTCCTTTATTCATAGGTGCATACAATGATTGGGTCATTACTCCCCCTTTCCCCTACTCCCTCCCTCTCGCCCCCACCCCCTCACTTCCAAGCAGGAACTATTTTGCCCTTATCTCTAATTTTGTTGAAGAGAGAGTATAAACATTAATAAGGAGGACCAGGGGTTTTTGCTAGTTGAGGTATGGATACCTATATAGAGAGATTCCTAGTATTGCTTCCATGTACCTATATGTTACTTTCTAAGTTGATTATTCTTGAACTAACCTTTTCTCTAGTTCCTAGTCCCCTTCTCCTCTTGGCCTCTGTTGCTTTAAAGTTTCTGCATTGGTTCCTTTGCACTGAGGACATCAAATGTTATCTTGTTTTTTTGGGTTACCTACCTATCCTCATACCTCCCTTGTGTGCACTTGTCTTATGTGATCATAGTCCAATCCCCTTGTTTCTACCAGCCCTTTTATCTGATGGGGTTTTTCAAGATGATAAGGTCTTGTGAACTGTGATCTCTGCCTCCTGAGTAGCTAGATTACAGGCATGAGCCATCAGGACCTGGCTCACTAATTGGTTTTTAAGCACTAGTTGATTCCTACACCTTCGTGCCTACCCTTGCTAAATCTTCCACCCAAGCTGTAAAGGGTGTTTCCTTGTAGAAGAGGATTTCTACGACTCTGAGGTAAATGAGAGAGCAAAGGACCAAATTTCTCCCAAATCCCAGATGTAAATATTTTCAAGTAGCTGAGAACAAAAAAAAAAAAAAAAAAAAAAAAGAACCTGAAGCACTATCTTTTGTGCCATCAAAAAGGAATTATAGGGATATATTCTGATTTTTCTTACATCTTAAGATTTAAGCTGTATTATTGCTTATAACAGTTGGAATTCATTTAAGCCCTTATTAAACATACCTGTAAACAATGAAAATGAGTCCATGAATATACACAAATTCAGTTCAGTAAATTATTATGTACTTTCTAAGCCAGGTTTCTTTTAGGACCTCCTTCAGAGTGGAGAATAACTTTCATGTTTGAATTGAGCAAGAGTATTTACCATGATGACAGATAACTGCCCAACTACTCTTCCTTCCAAATCTTTTTTTCAGTACTGGGGCTTGAACTCAGGGCTTTCACCTTGAGCCACTCTGCCAGACCTTTTTTGTGACGGGTATTTTCGAGATAGGGTCTCTCAAACTATTTGTCTGGGCTAGCTTGAAACCGCAATCCTCTTGATCCCTGCCTCCTGAATAGCTAGGATTACAGGTATGAGTCACCCACACCAGGCTTTTTTTTTTTTTTTTTTTCCAGCACTGGGGTTTGAACTCAGGGCCTCACACTTGCTAGGCCGGTGCTCTTCCACTTGAGTCACTCCACTAGCCCTTCTCTCTCTGTTTTTGACATTAAACTTTGATTCAGGTTTAAGTCTTGTTTAAGGCATTATCTCTTACCCGTGTCTGGTGATTTAATAACACACCACTGGGTTGAAAGGTCTGAAACCCAAATGAAGCCTGGAAGTGGTCGGGCAGTGGCAAGTCCAAGTTAGTGAAACTCAGTTGTCCTCCTCTGGAGAACGAAGCAGTTCGCACAAGCTGAAATGCAAATGTGGAATAAATGACTGCAATGAAATCATTTCATGGCTAATACAGTATTGCCTTGTATCACTTTACTGGAACCGATTAATGTTATTTATGTTGCTTAAAAAGAATCCAAGTTGCTTTCTCATATAAGTCACCAAGCATCTGTAAGGTTTTATATGTATATCTGGTATTCTTTCTTTCCTACCAATTTAAAACAGAATCTGGAAGAGGCTCTGTACCTTGCAAATGCAAGGGCAGTGTATGTGAGCCAGTTCACTGCAACACTGTGCTCCCAGACAAAAGTCAAAAGCTGGTGTGTGACTGCATTTGGAAGATGGGCCAGCTGTGATGCAATCTGTCACAAGGTTCTGCACCCTCCACTTACCTTCCAGTCTTCAGAACACTTTTTGGTTACT